CAAAATTTTATAGAAAATGTAAAATTTTATAGAATTTGTAAAATTTGGAATAGCAGTTTTATTTATGTTCTAGAATTTAACATTCATCCGCTTCTCGGTCTGTTGTTTCTCAACATCGGTTTCCCCTCATCACTCTAAAGTATTCTTTGCTATATTAACTGTCGGGATCAGGAATGAGATTCCCAACCTGTCACTCTAAAGATTTAATTACAATTAATACAACGATATAATCGGATCGTAGATTGGACAATTAGTTTTGGAGAAAAATCGTTTCGAAGCTCGCTAAAATGCATGCATGTATGAGGTGGAGAGAGAGAGGAGAGAGTAGTGATACGAAGTTTCACGAATTTTGTGAAACACGCTGAAGACACATATTGGAATAGATTACTATCGTGTATGAAACAAAGAGTGTTAATGGATTGAAACATATGATTATTTTTTTATCAGAATATAATCATGCGGCATCTTGTCCTTAAGATATAATTACAACGAATAAAACGGTATGATCGCATTATATATTAGATAAGTAATTTATGAGAAAAATCGTTTTGAATATCGCTAAAGGTGCATGTGTGTCGTATCGGAGATAGAGATATAGGCTTGGATAAGTGCATGTATGTCAGAGGCAGCATATTTATTGCCCGCCCGATTTTTCTCCTTGTGTCCGGATGTTCGAAGAGAAGCATTTTCCCCAAAAAATATACACTATTCGGTCCGGTCCAATCCTCATACGAACATCGTGTACGCCTGTCCAGCCAGATCATCCTCCGCGTATAGTTAGAAAAAAGAGAAAAGGCATGCGGAACCTACAAACCCTTGCCCAATCCTTAAAAAAACTCACTAGATTATTATTACAACTAAATTTACTATGCTAGGCACCCCAATAAACTAGAAAAAATCGAGGAAAAAATTCCATTGATTTGGCCACAGAAGGCAAAAATGCTATGGGGTGAACGATAGCCCCTAGCGATCAGCCGATCACCGCATCCCTCCCCCCTCTCTCCACATAGTTTCCTTTTTTGCACCGCATTACTTTCCTATTTTAGTAAATTTATGCATCTAAAGTTTGTACAACTCAAGTTTACACATCTAAAATTTAGAGACCCAAAGTTTATAAGTCAAAAGTTTATATATCCGATTCAAATTTGAATTTGAATTCAAATATTATATGTAGATATGTATATATGTATATGTTTATATGTATATATGTATATATATATATATGTATATATATATGTATGTATGTATATATGTATATATATATGTATGTATGTATATATGTATATATGTCTATATATATATATGTATATATATACATATATATACATATGTATACATACATATATACATATATACATATATACATATATACATATATACATATATATACATATATACATATATACATATATACATATATATACATATATACATATATATATACATATATACATATATACATATATATACATATATATATATATTATATATATATAGTATATGTTGATGCGAAAAACACACACTGGCATAGGAGATCTACTTAATTCCAGTGCAGGTGCTAAATCTTGCTCTTGGGTTCAAAGGCGTGCCAGTTGGTTTGATCCTGTAACCAACAAGAAACAAAGAACGAAATAAATGAGGTTAAATCCATAAACGATAGCCGATCGGCTAATGGCCGATGACATATCGTTTATCCTTTAGCCGATGTCATCTTGAATTCGATCGGCAATGAATAATAAAGCAAAATAAGATTAAATCTACTCGATCGGCTGTAGATATTAGAAATATATAATCTATGTCTTGACATATGTTTAAATCAAGTGATTGGGATAGATCGAACATCATGCCGAGATAGTATAAATCACTTATATCCAAAAGTACTTCAAGATAGGGATTATATATACTCATAGCTTAGCCGATGAAGATTGGTCTAATATGTATCAGCTATTGCTCCGATACTTCTCTATATTAAGATATTAAAACAAGTAAAATACACCGAACGGTAGGCTTAATATATTTTAATGCACTAAGATTTTAATATAAAGGGCAGATTTAGTATATCAAGTAAACATATAGATGACATGATAACTTAATCAGATAATATCGGCTAAAACCCCGACACTATCTCTATTGATGATCATAAAACAAGCTAGATATTATGGTTCTAAATATTACCTAATAGATCGAACCTAACCGATGCAGCATTAAGCATAACGAGAAACAAAAGATCTAGGCAAGTTGATGAAAACCTCTTGAAGATGACCGATATGTTATATAACCTAGATCAACGATGGCATCTAGCCCTATTGGTCGCTTTCTGATCGCAGATGTCAGCCGATTCAAGGTTAGATGACAATATCGATAGAGATTATATAACATATATGATAACTCGACGATTTACTTAAACAAGATTAGAGTATCATGAAGATGTAAGCACTAATCCCGAGAACGCAAGCCGCCATAACAAGTTTTACCTCTTACTGGAGATCGAAACTGATGCAGCCCAACTTGAAGCAAGAACTCGTCGAAAGTAATGAAAATAGAAAAGGGTGGCGATGCGCTGAAAGTGTTATTGAACCGTCGTTGTTGTTTACATGGGATCGGGCTATATTTATACCTGAGATACATAATGGGTCCTTGCCGGACATAACTCTTATCTCTAACAAACTCTAAGATATGAACAAGTCTTTACGGCAGACTCTTACCGGAACATATCTCTAAAGGAACTATTTAAAATATCTTAATTAATAGATACAATTACCTTCCCAGGACTCAATCCATACGTGACAATACTTGGGCAACACGTCGATCAAACCTGAAAACAATCCTAGAACCAACTCATCGGCATCGGCTACATCGGCTATTCTTTGTTCGATCCAATATCAGCCGATGTAGGCACTAGCCGATGCTCATTGTAGCCGATGCGTGCTCTGTTCCTGAGAAACGATCCTCTGCCAAATCCGCTTCGATCTTGACCTCGAACTTGATGTATAATTTACCAAATTTGGTCGTCAACAATATAGTATTTCTATACATCTAAAATTTATACACCTAAAGTTTATAGACCCAAAGTTTATAAGTCAAAAGTTTACATACCCGTTTCAAATTTTAATTTGAATGTATTAGTTTATAGACCCAAAGTTTATAAGTCAAAAGTTTACATACCCGTTTCAAATTTTAATTTGAATTCAAATACTTTTTATATAGTATTTCTAAATATAAATTTTTCCAACTTTGTTTTTTTATTTTTTTAAAATTTATGGTGTAGTAGGAAGAGAAGAGGAGGAGGAAGGGGGAGAGGAGTGTACAGGGGGGATGGGGTTCCCGCAGAAGGTGACTTTTTCACCGGGGTTTTCCACCAACGAAAAGAACGAACAACTGGCAGGGCAACTTTGCGAGGCTATCAACTTTGTATTGATTTAATTACAATCAATACAATGATATAATCGGGATCGTAGATTGGATAATTATTTTTGGAGAAAAATCATTTTGAAGCTCGCTAAAATGCATGCATGCATGCATGAGTGTGGAGAGAGAGCAGAGAGAGAGAGTAGTAGTGATAGGTAGTTTCGCGAATTCTGTGAAACACGCTGAAGACACGTATTGGAACATATTACTTTCATGTATGAAACAAAGAGTATTAATGGATTGAAACATATGATTATTTTTTTATCAGAATATAATCATGTGACATCTTGTTCTAAAGATTTAATTACAAAGAGTACAAAGGTGTGATCGCATTGTAGATTGGATAAGTAATTTACGAGAAAAATCGTTTTGAATATCGTTAAAGGTGCATGTGTGTCATATTGGAGATAGAGATATAGGCTTGGATATTTGCATGTGCGTCAGAGGCAGCATAGTTATTGTCTGCCCGATTTTTCTCGTGTCCGGGCATCTGAAGATGGAGAGTGCTACAAATCGGACGTCTGATATTTTTCAAAATATCGGACGGTGTTGCACTGTATTATTGCAAAATGTTTCACATGTTGCACTCCTCGATAAAAAAATGTTTCACTTAAAAAGTTTTAGATGTTTTATCGATCGAGGAAGGTGTTGAACTGCACTGTTGAAAAATGTTTCACATGTTGCACTCGATGAATAATGTTTCACTTGGAAAGTTTAAGATGTTTCATCAATGAAGGAAAAATGTTTCATCGCTTCAACTGGAAAGTTTCAGTTTCAGATGTTTAATCAATGAAGGAAAAATGTTTCATCGCTTCAATGGAAGTGTTTCAACCAAATGCAATCAAAACGTATTGATTGCAACATGAAGATTCAATATGTGCAACATCAAATCAAACAAAAATGAAACACCTTAATACAATGGAGTGCAACAAGCTAAAATAATAAGATGCAACGTCCCTAAACTCCAAACAAAACAAACCCACCTCCATCTTCTCCGAGAATACAAACCCACTTCAATCTTCCTCAACTCCGGTCGCCGGCCCCCGAGAAAACCTACCTCTCTTCTTCTTCAACACCGGTTGCTGGTCCCCGATGAACCACTCTCTTCTCCATTCCGCTGCGATGGCCGCCGCTGCCGCCACCCCCAACTCCCTCCTCCTCCGACGCCCGACGGCACCCAAGCTGGCCACGGCAGCCTAGCAGCTCCGTCTCCCCACGCGGGCTGCTAGGAATCTCCTGCATGGCAGTGGCCACGCCCGCGCAGTCTTCCTTCTCCCCCACCGGCGGCGGCGTCGCCGCTAACCGCAAGGTCTTCAACTTCGCCGTGGGCATGGCCACGCTGCCGTTCTCCGTCCTCCAGAAGCGCAGGCGGAGCTTGTCCACTACCATAGCTCCGGCATGAGGAAGATAGATGGAAATGTGTGGGGAATGGAGTAAGTAGTCAGTGGGGAGGAGAGAGAGAGAGAGTTAGGAAGTTGAAGGGATAAGGCTAACATGTGGCTGGTGGAGTTGAAAAGTGAACCAGTAAAATAGATGGGATGGTGGAGTGCCGACCGATTTTTTTCCAACTGCCGGACGTTCGGCTTAAAGCATTATAGATCCGAAGATGCTCCTATGCATACTTGGATGGAACCAATCCTCGGATGCCTATCGAGGGCTTCCCTAAATGAAACCAACACATTATTGTAATCAGATGTGATTATGACGTCTTCAAGGCTGTGAAGGTGCTGAATGCCATATAGAGACTTGGTATCTTGTTCTGCCTGGCCAAAAACAATAAGATGCATAATTCTAAGCTTTGGCATTGCTCCTGGCTTGATCGACAAACTGGAGGTGGAGGATCCATAGGTCAACTTTAGTTCTTTGAGAACTGAAAATGATACACTATCTATAATGATCTCCATGCCAGGAACCATGAACACTTGCAAGTCAAGGTAAGCTAGGCAGGGTAACCTTGAGAGAACTCGCATATCATCACCCTTGAGTTCAACGACCTTGAGACACAGACTAGTTAAGGTCTCAACCTGTTGTATCCAATATGGAACCCTATGGAACGCCTTGTAAAGGTGACACCTCTGAAGGAATTGTGGAGGAGGAGACCAGCTGCACAAGAAGCTAATGGGTGGTTGCCTGATATTCCCCTCTAGAACAACTCTGAAATCTAGACAGCGGAGGTTGCAGCCGCCCAGTTCCCTGAGAGAAGTGGCAAGAGCAGCAAACTTTACCATATCTATCAGGTCATCTTCATCGTTGCCTCGACGGCGATTGTAGATGACACCAAGCGTCCTTAGATTGGTCAGCACCCCAAGATGTCGGATGTTTTCAACAAAGCAATTGCAGAAGTTAATTCCTTCAAGTGTACGTATAGAGGTCAGCCTGTTAATCCCCCTGCCGAGCTCTTCACTCCCTGCAGCTCTCAGATGCCGCAATGATGGTAAACAAGCATCACGCAGAAATCCACCCACGAGTACGAGATTAGTGCCGCAATTTATGTCAACCACTTGCAAATATCGCAGTTCCCCAATTGTATCAGGAAACTGGAAAAAAATACCTTCCAACTTCAGATACCTCAGTTGAAAAAGGTTACATATAGGAGACAAATCGTATATTGCACGGAATGAAAAATAACCTTCTATTCTCATATGTAGAACCCTCAAGGCTTTAAACATGCGAAGACGAGGCAAGCTTTCACCACGCTGATGGAGCCAATTCCCAAAATAAGTGATAGATCGGACTTGATGTAAAGACTCACTTGCTTGGATTATGTTACCACAGTTTGATCGGTAGTTGAGCCGGCGAATCAAAAAGTTACCTCGTCTTGAGCAATCTTGATCAGTACTAATTACAGTCACAAAGTTTTCCTCCGTCGACTTCTCAACAATAAGATCAAGTAACAAATTGTGCACAACACGACAGGAGACAACCTCACCATACTTAAACTGAACTGGCTTTATCAGGCTTCTATTTATGAGGTCTCTGAAGTAGCTCTCAGCAATATCTTCCAGGTCTCGGTTATCTCTTTGGGTAATAAATCCTTCTGCTATCCATTGTCTTACCAAGTCTTTCTTCATGATGTTAATGTTTTCAGGATACATATGAAGATATAGGAGGCACGTCTTCAGATCCCAAGATAAATTATTATAGCTAAGTTTAAGTATATGCTTCATCCATTTAGAGTTAGGATTTGTTTCCAGTTCAAACCCCATAGAGTTTTTTATCTTCAACCAATTATCCAGTTTGTTAACTTCTCTTTGACTAGCCAAAAGACTAGCTATGACATCTATAGCCAACGGAACTCCTCCACATTTTCTTAAAATATCAACAACAATTACGAGTTCTTCAGGTTCAGGGATGTAGTTATCTGACCCATATAATCTTCTGAAGAATAAGCTTCTGGAGTCCGTCCAACCTAGTGGTTTCATCTTATAGACAATGCCACGGAAGCTAGAGCAGCAGGCATTTGCTACATCCTTTGTTCGCGTAGTTGTAATAATTCTGCTTCCACTGTTGTTTTCGACAAATGCACCACTAATACTGTTCCATGTTTCTATGCTTGATATGTCATCGATTACAACTAGGAACCTGAGAAACAAACATAGCTATAATCAATAGCAGAAAACCATAGATATCTATAGAAAACCATATCAAGCTATTTTTGTTATAAACCATATAGTTAAATCCTGGCCTTCATACTCATTGGTATATCTATATCTATACCTACCCCGGGCATTATCTTGTCCAGATAATAAACTGTTAAAATTTCTATCAAGTCTACAATCAGATAGAGAAACGATGACTGAATGCAGCATGGGTACAGAACATGCGCTGCAACAGAAAATATTAGTACAGATTCGTAACGCCCATTACAAATTAAAAATGGTTCTCGGTTATGTAAGTTGAGCATCTTCATTGTTTTTAGCGGTATGGTTAACTGGTCAAGGTGATATTGTTACTTATCATATTACTGAAAACAACAAGATTTATAGGTTTAAAAAGAATGCCCTAAAACAAAATCAGAAACTACCACATGGTAAACATGCTGATGGTGTAATAAATCAAGATAATTTAGTATTAAACCTTAGACATTAAGTTTTCAGAACATTTATTTGGTGAGGCATTTCAATTATTATCAGCAAGAACTACACATGATGATTATCAGTTTGTTGCAAGAATAAATTTATCCATTTATTTTTATTTTAGATATATTTTATGACAAGAAATTCATTATTCATCAAGAAACAAAGTGGCTAGCTCACACTGAAATCCAACAGTATTATCTAAAGGACCTTCTGTAGTCCTTGTTGATATAGTACTAGTTCAAAGTCCAAACCTACTTACTCATTGTTTTAGCAATACTAATATTGTTCTTGTGTGCAACAGTACAGATCTTGCAAACTATAGTCTTTTTATAGCACTTGTGTGCAACAGTATTAGGAGGTACAAAATTAAATTTCTAGTGTTTATTTCTGGTATAATTTGGTACTTATGAAGTATCAAATTTTACATAAAAAATATAGTACCTCACAGTATCTTTATCAAGTACCATAAATATCTCACAAGTATAATGTACCTCTATAGGAACCTTAAAGAGCTATTCAATTGTTGTTGCTGCTGCTGCATGTTATTGCTGTCATTGTTTTTGCAATTTTAAACCTAGTTCAATGTTATACTCAACATAATTTACATTGAAGCTGAAATCACTCATCAAGTAGTAAGTTTGTGTGCTAGTGTGACAATTATGATATTTTATATATAATTCCTTTTTTTTTGCAGCAGTTGCTAGAAAACATTGGTTAAAATCTTTTGTGATGTTTGATAAAAAGGCAAAATTAGATATACAGTTATTTGATGGTTCTTCATGTAATATTTGCATATGATTTGTTCTTTTATAGGGAAAAAAATTATCATATCCAATCACAACATGTTAAAAAGAAAAGAAGATATATTCCCTAGGATCAACCAACTATCCTCTCGTTCAAGAATTGGCCATCGGCTGATTTTGTGGATTGTGGAACTAAAAAATAATTCTTCTGACACATGTGTAGAGTTGTTGATAAACAAATAGATGCAAAGGGGTGGATTTTTTTCGAAGTTCTGACTAAAAAGGACAATAATTCTTGAAGAGCTTTCATGAAAGTAAAAGGTGGTGCAGGAGTATTGTGAAAAGAAAGTATTAAACAATGGGGAATGCACAAGTTTTGCGAGGAAGTTTGGGTTGTTAAAGTTACTTTGTGAGTAGAATATCCTAAGCCATGAGTCTCACTCTGGTGCCCTCTACCTAGAGTAGAAAAAAATCTGAACTGTTGATCTCATTTGATCCAAAGGTTCATATCTATTTCTACTACCACCACATTTAGTGGTAGTAGAATTGTGGAGGGCTACTTTGTCCAGGAAAAATTATCTGCGGAGGGATATTTTCGTCCTTTACCCTGAATCGCGCATCTGGAGCCGATGCGGAGAGAACCCCGCGGCTCCCATCACCGCCTTGACGACCTCGCCTGCTCCACCGCCCTCGACGCCTCCTACTCCCACGCCTCCGCCGCACTCGCCGCCTCAGCCACCCTCGACGAGCTCGCATCTCCGTCTGGGATTGCCAGAGCTGCGCCCTCTCCCACCGCTCTCCCGCGTTGGCCCACCTTCCGACGAGTTCGCCTCCCGGATCTCCGCCTCTGACCCAGCACTGCGCCACCGGCCGTCACCAAGACCTCGTCCTCCTCGCTATCCCCTTCCTCGTCGTCGGCCTCCTCCCCCACGCTCGGCTCCAGCCCTGTCCATCTCCGCCCGCCGTTGATCCCACAGCCGCGAGGGCAAGCCCCCAATCCATCGCCTCCCAAGCGGAACCCGCAGCCTCCGGAGCCAATGACTACCGATCTCTCGACCTCCGAATCATCCAAGACTCCTCTCGCTGGCTATAGCGCTGCTCTCCAACGGATTAGCTGACATGATAAGACTCTTGTTCTGCTTTGCAGGTCAGATTTGATTTGTTTTTTTTGCTGCTTGCAGGTTTGCAGCTCGAACATCTGTACTGAATCTTCTTTTTTGTTGGCCTCTAGTTCTCGAATAGTTTTTCTGCTTGTCTGCTCAAGCTCTGAATTTCTTGGTCATAATTTTTCCTCCTAGAAGAAGGGATTCAAGTTGAATGCTAGTAAACTGAATCCGGAGCAAGTGAGCTTGTTCAGAATAGCTGAGCTTGACAAGGTGGACAAGCTAATGATCACTACGTCAATCAACGCTTGAGAGATTCCTGGTGTGTTATGTCCTGTAATTCCTGTGAATCCATTATCTCAAGATGGCTTTGGGTGGCTTTGGCTTGTTACTGATGGCCATGTTTTTTTTCAGCTTGTGGTTTTGAAAGTGCCTATCTGTGTATATCATCGTTTTTGTGGTTCAATGTATATTACTTGTTGTAATTGCAATTGTAAAGTCTATGTAAAACAACATACCGGATTATTCTTCCGTTGCCTTGTATCTGTCATTGCTGGATTGGAGTGTTTCGATTTGTCCATTGTGTGTAATATTCAGATATATAACTAGTATATTTAAATTTTATATGAAATAATCAAGCTGAATGGAAACCAAATACCTACAGCAAGAAACAGTACATCTATGGAACGCGATGCACAAGCGCCGGCGGTGGCTAGACTTCGCGATCTGCTTTTCTTTTTCTTTCCCTGCGCTCTCCTTTTCGATTAATGAGGAAACGGCCACTCTGCTGTACGATGGAGAGGGAGCGAGCGACGCTTCAAATGAGAAAAAAAACTAAGTGCCAAATTTACCCCTATTCGTTTTTAGCACTTTACTAATCTGCCCTTTAAAATAAACGGTCAAGATTAATTCTACTTGTAGTAGAATACTGCAAGTAAAGGGCACCGGAGCGTCTCTCTATGTTATTAGCAATCAACAAAAGTGATCAGTTAAAGATATGGTTTTACAGGAGGCCTTCCGAAGAAACTTCATTGAGAATGAATAGGAGCATATTATGTTCATTACTGGAGAATGTAGAATTAAACTTTGACAGCGATGGGTTATCTTTGCCTCACAGCACAAATGGGAGATATTCTCTACAAGATCCTTATACAGAATATAATGTATGGCAATAAGAGATAGATTACCCGATGGCCGCTCTCTTTTACCTGTTTTTATATAAGACTCTTGTATTGGCTTTTTTTAAAGTAAAGTTGAATTGATATTCTTGTGAGTTTCTCAACTGTTTAAATCCCAGGCCATTGGACTTGACAATTCAAAGAAAATTGGGGCTGGCAACGAACTGGCTCCGCTGTAAGTTTTTTTTTTTATAAAACTATGAAACTATTCTTGTAGTTACCTAGGAAATATTAAGATCTCGAATGTGTCTTTTGCTGTAACAAAATTTTTGTGCTGTTGTTTTTGTATATATGTGGTTCCTCTTTAATAGTTTTCAGAACAATATATATTTGCCAGAAAACCTGAAACTTGAAGAAAAACATTGGAACATTTTGCTCAAGCTTTTGTCATATAATGTTGGGAACTACAAAAAAAATTTCATAAATTTTAGAAGCATATGATGAGGCCAACTATTTATTACTTCTTCCGTTTCATAATGTAAGTCATTCTAGCATTTCTCACATTCATATTGATGTTAATGAATCTAGACAAAATGCTAGAATGACTTACATTGTGAAACGGAGGGAGTAGGTCATCTTTGTCCATAAGGGCATTATGGCCTTTTTTTTCAGAAACATATCTGCTTATACGTATCATTAACATGACTAGGAAGTTGATTTATCGATCGTATATAAGGAATAGAGACAAACAAAATGCAAATAATTGATTGGTACTGAACTGAGTGCCAAGGAATATAATTCTCTTTAAACACCTAAGTAGGAAAACCCAAAATATTATGGACTATTATATCAAGCTGTTTGCTACATAGACCTTTGATGGTACACTAAGTTGTTGTGATCCATCCATTGCCAATTGGAATAGTTGTATTGACACAACGAAATAGAAACATAGAAGCATATGCTCTCATACCTCTTGCAAGCGAGTTTTTCTCTGGTTGCGTCGATCAGACTTTGTATGTCATCAGCCGATCCATCGTATTTGAGTTGTGAAAGAATGTCCTTTAAAATCACTGACGCGCTACGGTTTCGTGATGCAAACACAAACACCACGCACTCAAATCTGCCATGGATTTTATTATAAACCTGGATGGCCAAAGTTGATTTACCAAGACCCCCAAGCCCCACAATGGAGAGCACCTTAGGATGCTGTCCTGACTCTCCTTCCATGTCCTCCATTAGCAACTGCGTAATCACCTCACACGGGACATTGATGCCGACGAGACTATTTGCCTCTCCACACAGGACAGGTGAAATATCATCATCGATTTCGTCTATCTGTCTCGGATTAGAGCTGATACACTCGTCAACGTCGAGATTGTATCTCTCTACTCTTTTGACTTCCTCGACAGCATAATAATCCTTGATTTCGTCGATTTTGGCGAACAAGTTAGGGAGCATCAGCTCCATCGTGTCAGTGAGCAAGGTGGCCTTGTCAACTGCAGTGCCAAAACTGTGCATGAACATGTCAATTTTGTCCTCGACAAAGTAGGCCAGCTCACGTACCTTGTTCCTCAGCTCCCTCTCCTGAATATTCAGAGCCTCCATGTCAGGCAGCTTCTCCAGTAGAGCATTCATGCAGCTCAACTCCTCTTTCAAGTTCCAGATATTGTTCTTGAAATCAAATTGGGTAGAAAATTGGAACTCTGCCAAGTCGTATCGACACACCTCTTCCAGCTTCACCAGGAGTGAGTTCATCACCCCAGTCGAAATGTTCACGGCCATGGCTCGATCAATTCCTCTCTCTCTCTCTCGCTCGCTCTTTCTTGATCTATGCTTGTCAATGATCTTGGCACTGCGTTTGAATGTCAGTAGCTAGCAGATCAACCCTCCAGTTATATAACATAAGATACTAGCTAATTAATTGTTCTTTTTTTTTCTTTAGAATGACAGCTACTAATTTGGAATGTTCACGAACTTTCCTACGTGAAGAGTATTGTACGTCGATCCGTATAAAAAAAAATGAACCGTGAAAATCTTATAATTATTGCTGGTGATGCACATGCATGTTATCTCTCTCTCTCTTAAAAGAATCCATGGATGAAACTGTAGGCGAATTTTCTCCCGTTGACCATTTCATATCATAAAACATGTTGGCCACAAGGATCAATTTGACAAATCTTAATGGTTCTACATCTATCGTTCCTTCGTTTTTAGCAGTGACACTATGGAGTATGGACAGAGCAACATGATCACCAAAACACCTAGTTTCATTATTAACATGTAGGAGTATAAAACATATGGAAATATACAGCAATGTTATACTATTATTTGAAACTAATTTTGAAGATAAATCTGGCCACGACAGTGTAAAAAAAATTGAATTGAAGTACGAAAAAAAATATGAATGAGCAAGATTTAAAGTTGGCCTCATCTTTTCGCTTAATTATATTTATACTTATAAGCTAAAATTTGAATTTTCATCTTTAAATTTAAAGCTGATTTTGAGTTTTTTAATCAAAGTGTATTTTTTATCCTTTGTTTTTAGATCGCTAAGAACACATATATAAAAGTTTTGTTCACAAATTATTTTTCATTTGCAATCATGTCGTTTGGCTTATTTCACGAATAAGCCAAAATGGCAGGGTAATTTCCTTGCCACGAATAATGACTATGGTTCATAAGTTGACCTGCTAACCATCACAACGTAATCCCACCGTTGTTCTAATGGCCGGGCACATGACAACCCTCAGTTTGTTGGAACGGATTGTACGGGTATGTTTTTTTTCTTCTGTGCCGTGCAATTAATATACCCTATCCGTCAATAAATATTTGATGTTTTAATTATATTATTCGATTAGATTTTTGAAACGTTGATCATAAATAATTTTACAAATGTTTTAGATGATTAGAGCAAGTATAATAGTGAGTTATAAGCATTCTATAACCTTATGTGGAGGAGAGAGGTAAACAAAAAAGAAGGGTGTTGACTCTCATGCAAGAGCTAGCTTAACACAAGCTCCAAGACAAATACATTAAATATATAAGTGAGAGATAGAGATAGGAGAAGAAAATCATAACTAATCTTATAGCTAATCTATAATATGTGTTGACTTTAGGATGGGCTAATAGTAGAAAGTAGGCTATATCAGGCCATTCCCAACCCAATGACTAGGATGGTGTTCATAGCATTAAATAAGTTGCCACCTAGGATAAAAAATGATGTGGCAAGTGAATAAATGAGAAAAGAGAAGGAAACCATGTCTTGCATGAGACATAGTTTCTACACAATATCCAAGACATCATGTAAGATAAGTAGCATTAAATTTAAGTATGGAATAGTGATGTTTGCATTGGAAGAGTAGTGCTTAGTACTGGTTTCTTGATGATGTGGTGTTTATAGAAACCATGTCTAGTGTCTTGGGTTAGGAATGGCCTTATTATCTTTCTCTTAAAGAGATAGTACATGTATATTTCATTAATACCTTGAAAAGTAATATCATGTACTTTTCTACATGAAGAGTATTGTACGTCGATCCGTATTAAAAAAATGAACCGTTAAAATCTTATAATTATTGCTGGTGATACCCATGCCTGTTATCTCTCTCATAAGAATCCATGAAAAATACTGTTGGCGAGAACTTTCTCCCGTTGACCATATCATCATAAAACATATTGGCCACAACCCACAAGGATTAATGGTTTACATCTATCGTTACTTCGTTTTTAGCATATATGCTACTTCCAGTCGTGAATAAGTGATACTCCCTCTGTTTCAGGTTATAAGACATTTTGACTTCACTTAAAGTCAAACTGTTTTAAATTTAGGCAAAATTTGCTACAGGACACTCAAAAATTATGTAATTAGCTGAGAGACACCGCAAAAAAGTGACATTGCCCATAGACACTATAAAAATTATATAATTAGCTGTAGGACACCGGACGCATTATTTTATTATTTTTGGACTGAAAGTGGTGAGTTTTTTTTCAAAATGACCGGAGTGCCCCTGCCCCTCGCCATCTATCCCAGACTTGGGTCCCCGGTTGAACCAAACCCGGTAGGATTCGTCACCTGGTGTTGGCGAGCGGATGAGCACCCTGGGCACGACATTGGCGAGGCGAGTGGGTCCTGCTGCCGCGACATCGACTAGTAACAGGTGGCTGCCGTCCACGTCGCGGAGCCCCACATGTAAGCCCCTCTCTCCTTCTCTCTTTCCAGATGGGGGCAGCAGAGCGGTGACTCGTCGTGCCTGCCTTGGCCCCTGCTCACGACCGTGCAGCATCGTCGCAGCCGAGGCGTCGCATCGGCCCGTGCCTTGCCGTGCCAGAGCCGGCGCTCTCCCTCTTCCTCAGGCTTGCTTGAAGAAATAGCAAAGAGAGAGAGAATGAGGGAGAGAAAATAAAAGAGGAGAAATTCCTTTTCCACAATCATCAGATAATTGAGTTGAATCAAACACTGCAATAGTGCAATTCCTTCAAATCCACCACAAATTCAGAGAGGAATTAAATCACAAACTCAACCAAAGGAACAAACAAATCAATTGTGCAATCACTAGCAAAGCTAGGCGCAGCCATGGGGATGCCCACGACAAGCTTTAGTTCTTGTCGGCAGTGGCAAGCTTGCACTTGACCTTCTGGAACACCACCGCCGGCGGCGCAAGCTGCAGCGCTTGAGCAGGCACGGCGCGGCGAGCTTGCACTTCGTGTAGTGCGCCTGGTATCTGACCTCACCGGAGACTGTCACCTCCACCTTGAACTCCCTTGTCGCGTTCTGGCGCCACCTCCACCACGTCGTGCCGGCCCCAGCCCCTGCGTACGATTCTGTAGCGTCGCCTCAGCCGAGGCACCACACCAGCCCACGCCTCGCCGCGCCGTCGCCGGAGCTCTGCTCTCCCTCGGGCTCGCTTGAAGAAGGAGCGGAGAGAGTAAGAGAGAAAAGAACAAGGAAGAATTAAAAAAATTAGAAGGGTAGATCCGTACTTACACAGCTGTTTCTCTCTCCAATTCGTCCGGATATAATAAAATAATCCGGTGAGTGTCCAACAGCTAATTACCAGTTTTTTACGGTGCCCTGTAGCAACTACCCGTTATTGCGGTGTCTCCCAGCTAATTACAAGATTTTTTTGGATGTTCTATAGCAAATTTTGCCTTAAATTTAACCATATTTATAGAAAAAAATAGTAAGATTTTTAACCCAATATAAATTTATTATGTAAATATACGGTAGGGCTATTCGCGCTCTACAACGTGGAATATTAGTTCGAGCACCGCACAACGCCCTCTCCTTCCGGTTTTCCCGTTTTTTACCACCTCACCTTTCCTCGCATCCCACTTTTCTCGGTTCGTTTTCAATTTTTACCACACTATCTTTCGTGTTTCTTTTTTCTCTTTTCTATCTCATCGGTGCTTCATCAATGGGTCCGATAAATATTAACCATCCATATTTTTTTGTTTTCTGTTTTTTTTCCTTCTTTGTAGTTTTCATGTTTTCGCGTTTTAGTAAAATATTTACCGTCTATTTTTTCTTTCCAAGTTTTCTGTTTTTCTACTATATCCGCACATTTTAAAAGTAACGAATTTACTCTGTGGAGTTTTTTATTTACTCCCAGCCTCCCACATCTGCTCATTCAAAAGTAACAAATTTACTTGCATGAATACCTCCACATCGTATGACGCTATACCTAGATAGTCGTAAAAGAATTACTACCACCTTACAATGCTAGTAATTCTTTTACCAATATTATTAATATTGTTTAGATTTCGTGGTATGTGAGTAAAACAATTACTACCTTCCTCTCGATATACCCCATAATCTCGTAGACACCGTGTATTAATATATTCGTAGCAACCGTGTATTAATATATTTACTGATGTGTTCAATACACAGCATAAGAGTAAAAACTGAGATTTCGTGGTCTGCGAATAAAACAATTACCACCTTCCTCTCGATATAGCCATGATCTCATAGCCACCATGTAGTAATATGTTTACTGATGTGTTCAATATAAGTATAAGAGTAAAAACTGATAAGAGTATTGTTGATCTGTATCACAATATAGTCTTATGAATGAAAAAATTACAGGCTCAATCACACACAAGCAATAAAATTACTCACGGTGAATCAAACTAGAAAAGAAAAAAAATGATTTAGCCAAAAATCCATCTGGTGGCTTTGCTCGATCTTGCTGTAAGGATGAAGAGCACGGTCTGTGTCTTGTGACTAGTAGTGGAGAGGGCAAACGGGTGGCAAGCAGTAGTCGACGATGGAATCATGGAAAAATGTAGTCGACGATGGAATCATGGAAAGATGTAGTCGACGCTGGAATCATGGAAAGATGTAGCAATGTGGTATAGAGATGAGCTCGATGTTGCGCAGTAGCATCCACCCATCATCCAGCAAGCACGAAAAAAAATGCAAAAACATTCTCGTTCGTGTCAATAGAGATGACGAGCAAAAGAAAAATAGCAAACAACCTCCATCACCAGCGGACTCCACCCTATCCTTTGCGGCCAGCCACATGGAGCACGATGTACAAATGTAGGACCTGTGCAGCCCATCAATTGAGATAAGGTAATATTGGAGATTGTACATTAATTTGATTTGCAAAAAAAAAAATTGGGGCTTCATGCATGAAGTTAAAGGAGAGTATGCAGATGCAAATCAGAGTGTCATTTCCTTACTTGCTTACTCTATCAATGTCGTCGACGTGGAGCAACCGCTGGTTGTTGCTATTGGTATAGGTGAACACCTCCTTGCTGGTTAAGGTGATGCCCAGTGTCCGGCA